CCACGTTTGCTGGACAGTTTGGCCTGTTAATGGAAGTTGAAAAATAACAGACTTACTGGCCATATCACCAGATGAAAAAATAAATAAATGTGGTGACTGCATTAGTTTTAAGATTGATAAGCTGCAATACATTTCTTCTGGGTTTAATATACTTTAAGTAATATAGCCTGGTTCAGGATGCACCCTTTTCTTGTGACTGGTCCAAAAAGGATCAGCAGCACACTGATCATGTCCATCACTCTGCTTTCTTCTCCTGTTTGTATGTTCATAGACAGCAGTGTGCAAGTCAAATGACTGGGCCCGAAAGCTGCTGTGTAGGGGATTGCAATAGGCTGATATCAAGATATCAAGACTGATTACATAACACATGCCTGTTACATATGAGATATATAGATATTTAAAAAAAAAAAAAGACTAATCCAGTTTTGCATTTCTTTAACTTTACGTTTAGTTAGTAGTCTGGCTGCTGTTTGACAAGTAGGGTATTTCAAAAGTTGCCTAAAGTGAACTTGTAAGGTTTTTCACTCTGGTGTGTAACAGATTTTCTTTACAGAGGAGACCATATGTAGTGTGTATTTTATCTATGTTCCCCTTGTCACCAAGATGCCCATGATTCTTGTGTAAGTTGGGACTTGATTTAAAATGTACCCAAGCTGTGTACAATTCCCTTATCTCTAAATGATAAACGCATGGGGATCAAGCACTGCATTTATGGGGCCCGTTTACACCAAGATCCGGCCTAAAACGCAAGTCAACGGAGGTCTGTTGACTTGCAGTTTCAACCTCCATTGACTTTCCTTCAGTTTTTTTTTTTTTGCCAATCTTTATTTTAATTAACATGTCCCGAGTGGACAAACTATGTTTTTTTTTTACTTCCGATTTATAATAATTACATCAGTTTTTTTTGTTGCATACGTAGTTACATTGGCCTAAAAAAAAAAAAGCATGCTCTACTTTTTTTTCTAATGAATGCACTGCAACATAACACAATGCAACAGAGCCGTGTGAACAGGTCCCATTCACACCCATACATTTTCCAGGTTATTTTCCGTTGGCATCAGCTGACATCTGTTGAAAAACTGATGCTAACGAATTTGGTGGGAATGGGCCCTTCGAGAAGACAAGAGGCAGCGTCACCTGCTTCCCCATACCTGGAAGTATAGAGTGACACTTGGGTGCTATAAGGGCAGACTGGCACAGCAGAAGGAGCATGGAAGGCAATTGGTCACACTTGTAAAGTCACTAGGTTATGTTGCCTAGAATTGAGAAAGATTCACTTTAAAATTCTTCGGTAGAAATACAACAAAACTTTCCGTTCCTTAAGACCAATAATTTTTTTATGTGCATGTACTATACACACACACACACACACACACACACAGTAAATAAAATAAAAAAATCAAAACAAAACCCTTAGCACTAACACACTCACAATAGAGTTGAGAAGCACACTGAAATTCATTCCAATCAATGTATGACGATTTCATGTGAAAGGTAGTTTAAAATAATTTTACAATTAAATGGAAGTTTAAAAAAATGAATACATCACAACAGGAGACCTCTGACTGCAGTCATGACGCAAATAAAAATATTTAAAAAAATATGCAATCTGCTAGTAGGAGCAGAGCATCTAGGGAATTACATTGATCTGGTCAATTACATATGTTTATATCCTCTGAGCCAACTTGCATTGATAACTATTACAAATGTAAACAAAGATATTTCGATCATGAATGAGGTGTAAAGCTAAAATCCGTATTGATTAAAAAGGTGCTCGCCAAGACACACACACACAGACACACTTGGGTGTGACAACAATCATCCTCATAGTTCACATTGTGTACGAGTGGGGTTCAGTTACAGAATCACTGCCCATACCAAAGCCTTCACAGAATAAAAACAATAATTAAAATGAATTGGATTAGCTTCCACACTCCAAAATGCTATTTTTGTCACAAAACCACATTATTTCATCGACCTCACCTCTCCTTAGAAGTCTGAACTTTGGTCAGCTCATAGCTAGTTAAATATAGACTTACAAATTCTTACCAAGCAGTAAATAAGCGTTAAAACAAGCCATCACTGACCTCTGTAGCTGTAGATACTGTGGAACAATTCATCCTTACAAAAGAACCCGCTACTAGAAGAAAATGGATGTGAAGGAGTTTATAATGTTATATGTGATGATGAATCGGTGTCTGCAGCTACAAAGGGTCAGCAAATGCTTGTCTTAAAGCTTAATTTACTACTTAATATGTAAATATTTGACTGCCACAGTTCTATTTTAAGAGTTTAACTGCTTTATAGGAGACTGGCATTAGAGGGGCAGGTATCTTTTTGAAAGGGCAAAGAGAAAGAAGTATGTGTGGTACCAGGATCCCCGATAGAAAAAAGGGGATTGTACAAGTTGGTAAACTGCCCTATGTACCCACTGACTGATGATGGGCCCCATCATCACCCCCAAGCAGGTTAGAAACGGAATTCACTGCTGCTAGCAATGCTAGAAATTGAAGCATTGCGTGTCCACATGGGAAGCTTATGGCCATTCAAGGCAGTTGTGCATAGGGCATCCTTAGGACTCCCATCCTCCATCTTTATCACTGTGAAGGTTTTAGCATGAGCAGCCTGCACCGGAGGCACATCACAGTTTATAGGTTAATCATGGACAGCGAGTAGCATAATATTTTTACTCTCTCAGAACATTCTAATCTGAACATATACTAAAATATAGACTTTTGTTCTAAACTTAAATATTCTGTATTTTAGAAGATTTTTGTAGAAACAACTCACAGAAAAATAGCATCATAAAATAGCTGACCTTAAACATGCTCATATTTAATCTAGAAGAACTATCTGCATATTCCTTTAAGACAACTTTTATTTCATCTTTACTTCTTAATAGTCACTTATATAATAATATTTTAGTTTGTCTAGTTACAATACTATTTTATTTTCCTTTAGCCATATTTCAGCTGCTGAAATCAGCATATAGATCTGACATTACTGCGCCTGCCAATCAAGTACTGGCTATATGGCACTTCACTTTTATAGGAATATTGCCTTCTAATACACATTACCCTATTGTGGTCATGTACATTGTTCGCCAATAGTCCTCAGTTTAATGGGCAGTATATGTACGATGCACCGATACCGGTATTTCTGGTATCGAGTACGAGTATCAATAATTTTTGTCCGGTACTCGCCGATACAGAGTACTGGAAGTCCCATTCAGGAAGCCAGGTGGCGTGTAATGACTCGCCATCAGATTACCCGGGAAGCCGGGCAGCGTGTAAAGACTCGCCACCAGGCTTCCCGATTAGCAGGGAAGCCGTCCCCATGCTTCTCGTCACTAGGTGACGAGAAAGCATGGAGCCGGCTTTCTGGCCAATCAGGAAGTTGGGTGCTGTGTAATGACACGGCGCCCGGCTTCCCGATTGGCCGGGAAGCCGGCTCCATGCTCCCTCGTCATGAGGTGACGAAGGAGCATGAAGCCGGCTTTCCAACCAATCAGAAAGCCGGGCGCCGCGTCATTACAAGGCGTCTGGCTTCCTGATTGGCCAGCTTCCTGATACCGGAAGTATCGGGCTAGGCATCGGAGAGTTTGGCCGAGTATGAGTACTCGCGCAAATACTCGGCACCGATACTAGTATCGGTGTCTGTGCATCCCTAATATGTAGTGTAACATTTTCACCAGAGGAACCCATTACATAAATATTTGTGTCACCCATACTAATGAATATACATGGTCAGATTGTTTGTAAATAAACAAGCCAAAAATGTCTACTCATGGCAAGTCATTGTGATAAATATCCTAAATAAAATATATGAAATACTGCTCATTAGTGGCATTTGGTGCGCTGCATTGAATCAAACAACCTGAGCACTATAAAAGTGATTTGTTTCACTTTTAGTGTCCTACAACTCCCCAATCCATTCATGGGAAGGTTGGAAATAATTATTGATTATACACAACCATAGTGATAACAACTCAGGTAAGGAGTGGACATTATGTCACATTCCCCATCATGAGCAATTCCATAAAGGTTAGAAAACTCTGCTTCTTAACTGTCTCCTTCTCCAACTCAGGGTTTCCCCTAAATGTCAGATGACTAAGGAGAAAGACAGAGTGCAGGATTCTGCACCTTATAGAAGGGGGTCATAATGGTGGAATCACCACGGGTGCTCTATACTTAAACAGAGAACAAACTTAAAGCTATACAAAATACTGCACTTCTAGATCAACTCTGGAAGACTCCACCTAGCTAACGAATCAAAGACAAAAACAGCAGCAGGAGAACGAGTCACACATTCACTACTAATCCAGGCATAGTTATGACATACTGCTCTAATAGTAAACACTTCCAGACAAGATGGAGAAACAAACATCAACCAGACAAGACATACAAAAGACACAAAATGGAGATGCCATCAACGACGAGTCTGTTGGCCTTCTTCAGGGTGCTGGTGTTGGTGTAGTCTGTCATTGCACAAAGATCGCACATCAGATGAGATGGCAATAGAAAGCCACAAAGGCTGGAGTGGAGTTCATGTAAACAAAGCACAAGCAGAGCGTAGAGGACCAATGCGCACTGTGGACCTTTATTGAATTGTCCTTGGATGACCTTCTTAGTGTGAAATTAGTGTTTCCATTGCATTGTGAAGAGTATTGTTAAAGATGGGTGGCAAACTAATTCATTCTGGAACTCCACAACCCAGATGAATAACTTTCCATTGTTAAAACAGCAGAAAGATGAAAACGGTCACAGGCTACTCCTCTCCTACTCTGTAGCAGCACAATTCATGTTCAAGAGTTGGCTCAGATTAATAAAAAAAAAAAAAAAAAAAAAAAAAAAAAAAGATTCCATTTAGCTTCCTCAAAAGGTCTTCATCCAGGTTCTGGAAAACTCGCTCTCTAGTTCTTTAAATCCAAAAACAATGTGGAACCTCCTAGAATGTAGAACCCAACTAAGGTTTCTGTCAAAAAACAAAATCCTGAATCCAGTCCCGAGCCTTCTTTCCTCTCAAACAAATAAGAGAAACCAATGAAGCAGATTGTCTGGTTGTTTATGGATTCCGGGACCTGGATGCCACGTGCACACTTCACTGAAAGACTTCTCCATGGAAGCATATCAGGCCTTGCCTTGGCTTCGAACCCTATTTACAGACAGGGGTAACCTGTCCAGTCCTAAAAGAGAATGATAAACAGTTTTTACAATGACATCGCCTAATCTAACTTTAAATCTCTTAAGACTAGCATAGGCAGCAGTGCCTTAGATTTACCACTGCAGATATAAAGCTATCAGGATATAGGAAAATGGAGTGCCTAAGCGCTTCGTAGGCTCAAAGATTTCAAAATGTTCCCTATAAAACAGCAAATCTTTACTTTTCCGTGTCCACTTTAACTAAAGACAAGGACAATTGATCAAAACTGGAGCAGACAGAATCCGGAGAGGTTGTCCAAACTAACCAATCAGCTTCTCGCTTTCATTTTCAAAGCTTAACTGCACAAAATGAGGAGGGATCCTGATTGGTTACTATTGACAAAAGCTCCAGATTGCGTCTGCTCCAGTTTTGAGAAACTCTCCTCAAAAAGTCTGAAGTAACCTACCTATACTGATATATCATGTTTACGCGACAATCTCTCCATGATAAGCAACAATCAGACTGTTGAATACTTAAATGGCAGCTTTGCTGACAAGTGTTTGAATAACAGGTCTAAAGTTTAGACGTCTTGAAATGTAAACCTTACATGCAAAATCAATTCAAAATGTATTCTTGAAAATACCAACATGCAAAATCAACACTTTGCATGTTGGTATTTTCAAATGACCGCTTTTAGTTTTAGTAGTAACCTCTTTCTCACTATGAATAAAAACAACCCGCAGCCTAGGCTATACAGTCTTTGGTTAGCAGTCCATGCTGCAGAGAGTCTAAGAAACATAAAAAATGGACTAAAGTTCCTATCAGGAGCTTTTACAGAGGAAATCCTTAGTGATCCGGCACCACCTGGTGGCCAACGTCTGAGTGAGATTTTTGTTCAAATCATAAATACTACTTTTTGGTGCCACCAGATTTAAGACCATATAATGGTTCCTGTATAAACTGGCATTATAAGAGGCCCCCAGTCTAGTTTTATATTCCCAGTTTACAAATGCCACATGAGATACTGAACAAATTTCTTATAGACAGACTTGTAGATGCTCAGTGTCTAACGTCACGTCTCTTGGTAGCAACATACCCTAAGACATTCATCCTTAGGGAAACTGCCGATTAGCTGGTCTGCATTTGTTCTAGCCAATCTGTGTTTTATCTTACAAGATAAAGACTAGCAGAAAAGGTGCATCTGGCTGTTCTGCCTTTCCTTCACAAAGCAATCGGAGCATTGAAGCCAACAGAACCATCTTTTATTTATATCGTTGGTTAGAACGTCATAATGCTATCTAAGGCTAGGCTTTACATATAGCTTTGTAGACAGTTTGGTGAGGTTATACTTTTTATTAGTGTAGAAATGTGCCTATAGAAAGTATCCAGTTTATTGGATACTTTGATAAATAGCCTATACTTCTCCCCTACTACTTGCCTACCCTACTGTGCCCTGTTCACACAGGGGTAACCACAAACAATACACTTGGGAGTTTTCACAGAGCTAATGAATATCCCCAACAAGCATCAGCACTTGGGCCGCTCAGGAACCAAGTGCTGTCTTTTGATAGGCAGGGGACAGACCCACCAGGACACTTGCACTGCATTGTAGTAGGTAAGGGAGAATTACAACAGGCCAATCTGTCAGTGAGCAAAGCATTGTGAGAGGCAGGGGAGAAAGTGATGCCAGGCAGCTCTGCCACTAAGTAATGCCAGGCCACCGAAAAAAGGCTGCACTGTGGGAGGCAAAAGGCGAGAGTCACATGCCTCACTGCAATAAAATAACCCAAGAAGAAGCGTTGGGCTCCAATGAGCATACAAGGCAATTTGATCAAAATAACCATTGCTTCATTCCCATGGCTGCTATCAAACATCCCTATTACAAGCTAGTTAAAGAAGGGAAAAAAGATTATACTATGAATAAATGCAATTAAAATGCGGCGTCCCAAAAAGGTTTTTAGGCTCAACAAAAAGTGCAATTCCCAGTTTTTAGAAAGGTCTTCAGTCTCTCCTACTCCTTTAGTGATTCTTACCAAATGCACGGATGAGCTCAGCTTGTACGGCCCATGTAAACTTCTTTACCAAGCAGAGTGTTGTGAGGCCAGCAAACAGAATGTTATACAAGAAGATCAGGTAAAAGTTCCCGAGCCAGTTAAATCGTCCAAAGTCACCCAGCAGATCAAATCTGGTGATGCCTGAGAGGAAAGAGGATAAAATGATGAGCCAACGCAGGCACAGACATAGAAATCTTACACCAACTGGAAAGGATACATTCATTCATATTGGGTTTTAATTCTGAAAGACTACACTGTATTTTTAACTCCATAATCCAAATATCAGGTAAGATACTTCTCATTATCTATATTTTAATGAGACACATCCAAATGGAATTTATTCATGAGATCGCCTTTCAGAAACTTGAAGAATAATGAATAAACCATTTTAAGAAAAAAAAATACACCACCTTCTCTGTAACAGATGGGTTAATCTACACAAGTTTATAGTACTAATGCCTAATGATTGAGCCCACAGGAATAAGATGCATTTTATCTGGCTATGGCCAGCCTAAGACAAAGCCCACAGTAAAAGGTAGTGTTCATAATCTAATTTCCTTTAAAGGGAACACGTGAAGAAAATAAAAGTATGGTAGCTGCCACTGCTGCTAGTTTTTAAATGTTCCAATTTCCTATTACAGGAAGGGAAATCTACCAAAGATGATATGTGTTGGCTCCACTGTCTTTCTGAGATGTAAAGAAAAAGAAAAAAATGGACACTGGAGTATAGGAAACAATGAGAAGACAGAAAGCCGCCATCTGCAGCATGACTTCATTCATATGTGGATATTAGGTCCAGGAGTGGATCCTTGTGGCAGGATTCACAAGGGGTTCCGGAGAGCTGCGCCTGCCCAGCCTGTACAAAGCAATGACAGGCTGACAGGAGGTGCCACTGTCTGCCACTATTTCATGTATCTGCACAACCAGTGGTTACTAGTGGCTTGGCACAGATGACCAGCCCTAGACGCTGTTGGACCTAATGTCCAAGTGTGAAACTAAGCTTTTCTAAATACCCTAAGAGTTTGACTGCTATTTAATGTATGCATGTGTAGCCCAAACTTTTTTTTTTTTTTAAAGTCTTGGATGGAGTGTGGAAGGGTTAGAATGTATGTCAACTTTTTAATGCTTTCTGCACTCCTGCTCGAGAGATTCACTCCTTTTATCCTAGGGATGCACCTATGCCGATACTGAGTATTCGGGTGAGTACTCACACTTGCCCAAATGCTCCAGATACTGGAACTTCCGGCATCAGGAAGCCGGGCGGCGAGTCATTACACGCCACCCGGCTTCCCGATTGGCCGGGAAGCCGCCTCCATGATCCCTCGTCACTTGGTGCAAAAAATAGGCTGAGATTTTAAACATTCCCTGCTCTTTTAAAAAAAGTTAGTTTTGGCTTTACTTTAAATTTAAAAGTGGCCAGATCAAAAATAAAATGTATGATGCAGTCTTGCAATATCACTAACATAGCTGTTTGTTTCTCTGTGTCCCTTTGTAACCGTTTAATTCTGTTGATTTTGCCAGTAGATCCCTTGATTTTCCACTTCTTTTAACAGGGTAACTAGGTTGTTGGTCCTGCAGTTGAAGCACTGCAGTGTTGTCACCCTGTTAACAAGGCAGTCCTAGATGGGCATATAGCGTTGGATAAGTGTCAAGCAATACAAAGCCCATCTACAGCTCCACCTTTTAAGCATTTAAGCATTTATAACATTTTAGTTTTTCTGTAAAAAAGTTTAAACTATATAAATTAAAGCTGGCCATTGTAAGCCCCCCTGCCAGTGTAATAGTCTGTCCGAACCCTGTAGTTATTACTTTTGCTGGACAGCTTTGCCTGCATTTAAATGTGGAGAAAAATCTAATTAATTAAAGGCATATGTAATAAAAAAGGATTTCATACACTGAATACTATCATTACATGTATTAACCACAGAGCTTTACCAGAAGACAATACATTTTCCTTTAAATAAAATAGAAATCACACCAAGTTACATTCTGCATTCTTCCTTTTTAAACAGAAAGAGAACTCACCCAATGTTCTGGAGAAGACCGGGAGGGCAGAGCTCAGCACAAGCAGGGACACACAGTTTCCAATGATCTGATAGAAAAAAATCAAATTAACAAATGCTGGTACACCTCTGCATTACTAAAAATTGTTTTTTTAGATTTGTTACAACAGACGGGGCCAAACAGAGAGAATATAAAAGACTTTGTCTACAGCTATGCTGCAAAGAAGGAATAATAACATCCGCTGTCTTCAGGAGATACGCTAGCAGAAAAAAAAATCTGCATGCAATACTTCCGGGAGTGTGAAATGCCTGGTTCCACTCTATGTGTTGTGGTTCCCACCGCCATCACTATAGGACACAATAGCGACGTAGGGGTTAGAGGAAGGAACCTCACTGAGAAACCAGGCATCTGTCATACCCAGAAGTGTGTTTGGTGCCGAAAATGCGTCAGCTAGCGTAGTTTGTGAAGAGAACAGATATTAGCAGTATAGGAGGGGTAAAAAAGGCAAAGTCCACCTTTTCAGAAAAAAATACATCCACACATAAAAGATAAAACATATATTAAAAAATGTGCATTAAATGTTTTGCCTTGGAGCCCGCAAAGCATTGCAACCGAGACCAGTGGATCGTGGGTGCAATGTTCAGGTTCCTCCCTGCCCCTGTCCTTACTGGAATACTGTAGGGACTTTCAGTTATGAGACATAAAAAGGTATCAATGGACTAAGTGTATTGAAGTCATCTCAATTGTACTCCATTGAGAACCAAGAGTCCCTGTGCAATGGTGGCAGACCGGATTAGTAGTCACTCCATTTAGGGGATCTGGGGACTGTGGCCATATTCGGGGTGTAACATGAAACATGGTCAGAAAGTGAAGTTATTCCTTTAACCCTTTTCTTTGTAAGCAAGGCTTTAGTTTTGTATTTAAAATCCAGTCACAGGATCTCTTTAAACAAAAATTAATAAAGCACTGCCCTTCGCACACTATGTAAATGTGACTTGAGTGGCCCAGATACATAATGTAGATCTTTTTTAATTCTCTTTCCATACCCTGTGACACTGAATAGGCACAGGACTGTACAAGGCATAGAGCAAGGTGGAAAGTCTTTAACCCTTAACAACCAATAATCTGTCATTGTTCTGACTACTCAAAAACTGATGCAAGGTCGCAATCCTATGCTATGTAGACAGGGCAGAGACACCAGGGGGGGGGCACTACATAAAATATGACAATAGCAATCCAGGCTGTGAATCTAACACTGGACAGTTAGTCCACGAGTGATGTGCGTATGATGTGAAAAGGACCAGGTCAGCCTGGGGGCTTCACCGTCACTTCTATGCATTTCATGTAGTAATGCAATTCTTTTGAGACTGAAATAGGAAAAATACAAACAGAAAAAACAAATAAGATTTGTAAGAACAATACACTTGAAAAGTTCTTACTTTGGTCATTGTTGTGTCATGCTTCTGGGGTAGGAGTCTTATAAACAATGGAGAGGAGTAAAACCCAACCACTGAAGCAGCCATCAGATAACTAGAGCAGAGTTAAGGATGCAAATTATATCCTTTTATAAAAAAAATAAAAAATTATTTAAAAAACAAAAAAACCACACGCACCTTTCTATATATTATTTACTCTTTAAAAAAAAGTAATAAAAACACAAATTAAATACAAAATTTAAAAAAAGGACTAAAAACAAAAGACTTAAAATAAAAATACAAGCTTTCACTGTTTAGTAACTGCATAAATGAAATGTAAAAATATATGTAAACCCAAGAATAGAGATATGTAACAGTTTACCTGTCCTTAGATATGGTGGCAGTGTTAGCTTCTTTTTCCAGGCTACAAAAAGAAATACCTGTGGATCCTGTTGGAAATCCAGTGTTCTTGTAACCTCCTGCGCACTGAACGGAAATCTCAAACAATGTATCAACCTTCCCATCTCTCTTCTGTGAACTACAGAACACCTTCTCTCTAGGTTATGGAGAAAAGATGTTATGTAGTCCCAACACACTTCCTGTCCTAGGGTGACAGCTCCTCCATACATAAAGTTAGTGAGTGTTGACCACAGGACCACCAGGTGAAAACAAAAACCTTAAATATACTTATTCAGTAAGGCAGCGCAAGGAACAATGACGCACAAGGTGCTGTGAGCAACAGAAAACAACTGAATTATAGATTGATCTGATTTCTGAGTGGTTGGTATAGGTTATTGCACTTTACACATCACTTTTTTCCCCCCTACTGAAGTAGCACAAATGTAACAGTTTTGCATCATGGTTAGCGTACTTCCAAGTTGGTCATGCGACAGTAAGATTTTCAACATGCGCATGGGTTCAGTTATATATTAGGCGACATTTACGCTTGTCTACAAATGGTGGTGCATTTTACATGTATAGATGGGAATAAATAGTAAAGGATACAATATAAGGATGACTTGAACAGCTGCTCCAAAAGGACCAAAAACTGAGAAAGAGACCTTCCCAAGCCGTGAATCCTGCACAACAAAAAGGTAAACTCAGAATATGAACAGAAAAACAAGGCATTATATGACAGAAAATGGATACAGAGGACAATTTAAACGTTAATGGTGTACCTGCATCCCCTTTGGCATGGCAGCTTCATCAATTAGAAGTTCCAACACATGGAAGCACACAATCAGTACAGAGATACCCTATAAAATGTAAAGATACAGCATGTCTACAATCTGAAATTGATCCAGGTACTTGTTCCATTACTATGCAAATATTAACATTTATTTGCTGAATGTTTAACTGGTGATGCTAAGTAGATGACTTACTGCGAGTGCGAGGAGCAACAGCATGGCAAGAGGGTACACCAAATTGCGCTGCCATGGAGAGGCCTTTCTTCTCATCTCTGTAAGAAACAAAACTGCCAAACTCAGATCATAGAAGCCACATACGTTTACCATTAATATGAGAATAAGAAACAGCCCTACAATATGAGCAGCCTATAAACAAGGAGGAATCAGAACGTTTCTTGATGCTGCAAACTGCAGTCACTAGGTGGCGCTGTATTGCTGCCATCGAGAGCAACAGAAGACCACTACATAAAATGTTTTTGCAGCTGCCTACTGATTTAGTGTAGGAGCCAAAAAAAAAAATTGATGCCAAAGTAGCAATTTGAAAGTCCAAAGCTACCTACAGAACATTTGGCATCCTGATCATGCAAGATCCAGCAGCTGAAAAAAGATCCAAATGCAAAGCTTGTGCATACGGAGAGAGGAGGTGTAGCACAGACATCCCTTGCTCAGTCTTTTTCAAAAGTGAGTTCCACCCAGTGTACAGCTGGGCAGATGCTGTTCGCATGGCACTAGCACCCACAGGTGGCGAGGAGCATAAGAAATTCCATATTGGAATAAAGTATAGCATTATTAGTGTGCACTGCTTATGTTAAGGTGAACTCAAAATCAGTACTGTAACAAAAATCAAACTGGTACATTTACCGACGGTCAGGCCAAAGTTTCTCACCTAATGTGATTCGGTGACTCTTGATGGTGAGAAGCTTCTTTTGTAATGCCTCCATGTTTAGGTTTAACCAGCAGGAAGCTTTTGCTGTAGATAAAACATAAGGGAGAGGAGCGTTATGAGAAAGCATATAAGGGAGGCATACAAAATCCTGTCACTGCATGGGATCCCTGACAACATGCAGGATACTTTATTCACATTAGTCTCCTCGTAATCCACTATGGTAGCTATGGATGCTGTAATAAAGCTAATGTCTCCACAAATAGGAAACATAAAAAGACAGACAGACAGACAGACAGACAGACAGACAGACAATCTACAACATGGGGCTCTGGCCCTTTTCCACTAAGCGATACACCCGGGTTACTTCTTTTTTGCAGCTGGTGCAAAAGCACTGTGCAACCACAACATATACAAATGCAAAAGGTAAGAATAGTTTCAAGCAGCCGTTAAAAGAACTATTCCTGCATCCACCCTATAGTAGGATATTTACTCAGCATGTTTCTACTCACCCGAGATTTTACGGGAAATGGCTGCTTCCTCAAACGCAGTACAGTTCAAATGTTCCTCTAAGTTCTCCAGGAGCTGCAGAAAAGAAAAAAAGATGCACTGTGAAAAAAACTGCAAGCCCAAACTAAACTATAGAAGATTTGAAAATTATTGAAATAAAATAAAAAGTGAATTAAAGCAGAACTACAGACACATAATAAGAAATAAAGAAAACTCACAATTACAAAACTAACCTACTTAGATTTGCACTGGGAACCTTATGTGCGTCCCCCCCAATAACCCCATTAGTGTCTAACCTCCCTATTGCCAGAAACAATCTCTGAATGCATGTTCCCCTCCTCTTCCTTTAAAGGAATTCTAAATTCACGGCATATCCTATCCTGTTATAACAGTAGCATTGTAAAAGGATCACCTACTATAGTTGTTTTTCATAATGCAGTCAAAACTCACTTGAAAGAAAATCCCTTTTTTGTAGTGAGTGCTGCCTTCCGTCTACCCATCACTTTCCAACAACTTCCTGGATTCCCAGTGTGCTTTGCATCTTACTCTGCAGCTCAAATGTGACTCGATTTCTCAAGACTACATAGTCCATCATCCATTGCTTCCAGCAAGCAATGATGAAGATACATTGTGGGAAGATCAGTAAGTCAATGAGTTGTAGTTCAGATGGCAGGCTTATTTAGTGGTGACACCAGAAAGCACATTCACAGGGCTGAGTGAAATTGTGACAGCGCAGAGGAAGTACATCCTATGGGCATGTTCAATAAGTACGTTTAAAAACTTCTAGATCCATATAGTTATTAGGAGTGGTATAGGACTTCTGGAAATGCAATATAGAAATACATATTTTTAGTTTTGGACCACAGATGCTCTTTAGTGGAAGACCTCAGCAAAATGAAATTCTGGCATCATCTCCGATACTGACAATGCAAACAACTCTGGCAGCACTGAAATAATGCAGGATATGGTTTTCAGGGAGGAAAATATTATAATATAATCGTACCCCAATTTAACACAGTGCAACAGAGCATTGCAGAGGTGTGTTTTGATGGTAAAGCGCTGCTTTTCATCCCTCAACCAATACTTCAACAAGTAGATGGAGGAAATATTATCCTGACTAAAATACTTAATCTCTAAATAAAAAAAAAAAAAGCACCTACCCGAGGTTTGACCAATAGCTTTCCAGTCACAGAGAACATCCGGGACAGGCCCAATGGAGTGCACACTGCAGAGCCAAGCAAACAATAGTTATTTACTGTGTGTGCAGGCAAACAAGCTTGACATGAGAGTGTGCCTGCATAATAGGATGGGGATGATCACACTTCCAGACACTGCAAAGTTACCCGTCACGCAACACCAGTGCAGTGATAGAAAAACACACGACAGTAATCAGAACCAAGAAGGAAAAGACACCGGCACTCCAAAGTGAATACATTACACCTATTTATTCACGTACATGTTGCATAGCAGAACACACTAAGTGCAACGGTTCGGGGTCTAACAGGATCCCCTTCATCAGGACAAAAAAGTCATCACTTGTTTGCCTGATGAAGAAGATCCTGCGAGACCCCAAAACATTGCACTTAGTGTGTTCTGCTATGCAACATGTACGTGAATAAATAGGCATACTGGATTCACTTTGGAGTGCTGGTGTCTTTTCCTTCTTTGTGCATTGCTGCGGTTGCCATCTGCTGACACCAGTTGCACCTTTTTCCTAATTGATGGAACAGCGGCTCTGAGTGCGATGAGTACATGGACTGTATCGTAATCGGAACCAGACACCTGGACGATAAGTAAAAGCCAACTCCCACTGCAAGAACAGACTGCGCTCACTAGTCTACCTGTCCAGATTTCAGCCTGTAAATCAAGTGCTGAAGATGACAACCCACATGATAAAGAGAACCAGTTATGAGTGGGCTTATGAAAGAGTCTTAATTCTATGAATTTATGGTAGAATAGACATTGTGTGCCTCTTCTGCCATAACATCTGTTCCCCAGCTTTTTTTTAAAAACGAAATATTCACGGACAGTTGCGAATTTGCAAAAGTTACATCAGCCAAGCCAAGAAAGATGGTCATCAGCGCCCAAGCAATAAAAAGTGGGGAGGTGGATGCATGGCCCTGAGAAGGAACCCCCACAAAATGAATTACTTCCTGCAGTAGTTATAGGTTCACAGGTAATAACACATAGCTCTCTCCTGGATGTATATAGCAGTATGGAATGTGAACTGCTACAGGGTCCTGTGTCTGATTATGTTTGTCCATAGGAGCAATTCACTTACATGTAATGCATACCTTATTTTTAGCCATGTAACTGTAAGGCCCCATTCACACTGAGCGATTTTTGCAGCGATATCGCTCATATTTCCACGCGATATCGCTCTATGTAGCTTCTCCTATCCATATCAATGGTGCTGTTCACATCTAGTTGCTCAATATCGCTTGTAGCTCGTCGCTGTAGCTTGTCGCTCCTACATGACCCTTTTTTCGAGCGATTTCGAGCGTGACGTCGCTCAATATCGCTCATATAAAATCGCGCGATTTTCATGTCGCTCAGTGTGAATGGGGCCTAAATGTCAATGTTACTGGCTGTCATGGCTGAAAATAACAGCGGTTATTATGCAAATAATGATTTCTGTGTCTTAGTAAATTCTATCTTCATGTTATCAGCATGAGGTCAGGTAGCTGACAAGGTAACTACTGTCAGATATCAGAGGACCTCTAACGTCTGGCTATCATCTCCAACGGATTCAGACTAAACATTACACCTTCAAATGTTAAGTCTGCAGAGCTATAATAATTAAAAGTTTATCATTCAGATTCTTGCATCAGCCAATGACAGGAAATCTGTACTGAGAGAAATTAAGGCTCCGAATGCTGATCTCTCTTGAAAGTGCTACTTTCCGGACTTTTAAGCTGATCCAATTACTTCACTGCCTTGGACAACGTGCAAATTAGTACCAGTTTTGTTTATGACTGCATGATTGTTCTGGGTCAGGCAGTACTGAAGTTAAAGAATCCTAATAAGGGATGCTTTGCATTTTGACAAGCATAGGCATGGCAGTTATGTATATACAAGATGAGGCCACACCCAATAATCAATCATTTTCTACCAGGGAGAGGAGATAATCAGCTGATGGAGGCTTAAAGGAGAACTATGAGGCGAGTGAAAATCACTCAGCCTCATAGTTCTAGCCGTTGCTCGCTCACTTCTCGATCCTGTCCCCGCAGAGAGCCGTGACTGTCCCTCACGGCTCCCTGCAGGGATTCCCCCCCCTCCCCTGTCCGATCCTCCAGCGCTGACTGGCGGAACGGATGGGGGAGGGGGCGGGTACAGATAGGCAGAGCCAGCTGTCACTCACGCAACTGGGTGGATCCAGACAGTAATGTCGGGATCCGTCCCGGCTGCGGCGTCTCAGTATACTGCAAGTTGTAGCTCGCGGTATATTGAGCTTTGGGTGACGGGAGGACGCTAGTTTGTGTCCTCCCGTTACCTTTAGGAGAACTATGGGGAAAAGCCCTAACCCCATAGTTCTCCTTTAAAAAAGGAAGCAAAGTTGATCCTACTTTTTTGGCTCTTATAAGAACATTTACTAATGTACTCCTGTGACCCAAAGTCAGCTGATAATAGGCTAATGCTACTGGCTGACGGGGCATATTGTCAGGATCCATCCCACCTGTTTAACTGACAGCTGGTTTTGTCTGTGTGTGCGGTAGAGAGTCAGCTGTGCGTGCCTCCTCCCATCTGCTGCTTCAAACAGCGTTGGAGGAATGGTGAGGGGGTTGCTAGTTGGGATACGAGAGTCAGAATATCTTTTTTTTGTTTTAACCACTTTAAAATCCATGCAAAAAACACTACATCTCCATCCAAGACTCTTTAAAAAAGTGCACCTGCTCCCACACTATGGACATTAAACTCTAACTGCTTGTACAGTGAAGTATTTCATCTTCAAAGATCTGCAAACATCATAACAGATTCTGAAGTTAGATTTTAATTGGTTTCTAATTTTTTTTGGGGGGGGTTACGGTTTATGCCATATGAACAAAAGCAGATCATTGTAAATCACTCCCATGTTATATTTTCCCAACAACTGTTAACTGTCCATTTTGCTTGCTACAAGAAGTGAAACAAAATCAACAGATCTACTGGCAGGGCCACAAAGGTAAAACAGTGCAGCCTCAACAAAGAAAACCAGATGTTTTAATGCTTGGAAAAGACTGTATTAGACACGTCATTTTTAATTTTGCCTATAGTTGTACTTTTACATTTAGGAAAAGCTATGTTTCTAGTGGGCACGTTCAGCAAGAAAAGTGCAATTCTCATATAATTACTGGTGTCCATGCACTTTAATACTTACATAACAGAAGAAGAACCCCAAACAGAGAGATGCCCGAGTAGAGGTATGGTAGGTAATATTCCCACAGGTCTGAAAGAGAAATTAGCCATAATCAGTAACTCATTCTCCAGATCACTTACCAGGCTCACCACTCATGAATACTTTAATTCTTGGTATAAACAAAAAAGGGGCGGCTGACTGTCTTTCTAATGCATGGCGCCATATTTGAACAAAGAATCTCATTATTCAGGAAAATGGGGTGGGGTGGAGATGTGTGATGTCACCTTGTTTCAAGTTACACCCCGACTACAAATGACAATCATAAAAATCAGTCCAGCATCAGGGAAGCAAAACCAAGAATGTCTAAAAAGAAATACACCTTACAATCATCTGCAGATTTTCTGTGGTCAGATGGAAAAGGTGCAACAGATTCCTCCATCTCTGCTAAACTGCGTGGATGGAGTAATCTCCACCTGGTCCAATCTGTTGCACTTTTTCCATCTGACCACAGAAAATCTGCAGATAATTGTAAGGTGTATGGGCACCTTAAGAGTAGGAAGCCCGTTCAGCTGTTGGGAGGGCTCTTCTTGCTGCCAGGCAAGGAGACCGAGCGTGAATATAAGAAACTGCATATTCAAACCAATGCTGCCACTGACATAATATTATTTTCATGCTGTAATGGCACCAACATCCTTTCGTAAAGCAACTGTGCACCAAAACATACACAAAATTATGCATACACTTTATTTTGCTTCCCCCTCCCCCCTTCCCCATTTGATTTATTGGTTTGGACGAGCGCTTTGCTTCTTTCTTGTTGAACCGACTTATAACTGAAGATATAATAGCAGATAAATGACCAACATTTAAATGCTGCTCTACTGGAGTTTATTTACATATATAGAAGCTTGTCTTAACCAATCTCTCCCCATTAGGGAGATGCTCTCTTTATTTGTCCTGGTGACTACTGTCCCTGGGACTAAAAGTGAAGGATAATCCAGAATGTTCAGTTGTCACTGAGGGTGAGGGGAAATCTTGCAATGGGGAAACTTATTCCAGTGACAAATGTCTACGAAAGGAATTCCCTCACTTTAGAGAAATCTCCTCTTGTTTCCAGTTATGTCTACAGGTAAGTAACTGAAGGGAAATCTCCCCAATAAGACACAGATGGCAAAAAACCTGACAAGAATTGTTACCTCTTCTTGCTCTATCCAAAACATAAGGTAAAGGATTAGAAGCCCAATCATGATTTGACTGCCATTACCGGCTCCATTAGAAAACATTCTCTTCATTAATTGTGATGGAGACAATGGTTTTACTTTGTTCTACAAATCTTTTTAAAATCTGTTTTTCAAAACTTATAAACACTTTCTAGGAGCCGTCTCCACTGCTATGGGCAGAAAAACATACCATAGAGGGATTCTCTTCCATAAGCGTCATCATCAACAATGGCAGATGCCACCCATACGATGCCAAACACCAGGAGCGTGAGGAGCAGAAGAACTACAGATGTCTCATACACTCTGGACATGACGCCCTGCAAACAGAATAAAAAATTGCAGGTTGGCAGCTGTTAGGAAATAGACAGTACATATAATGGGTAACAAGTCTACAAACACTGTATATTTACCTCCCATACCCTAGTTTAAGATGCACTTCATCAGGAATTTCCTTGGGATCTCTACATTTAAAAAAATCACAAATATGCCTGAAAACTGTAGGTTCTGGGTTTTATGAAGGCCGGGAGCTACAATTCTAGTTTGCATTGCAGGGCCAACTGTTTTACCTTAAAAGTATATATAATTATGTGCAGTAAGTGTGTTGTGCCAGACTGTACAAGCAGATAATAAAACTGTATAAGCAGCAAAGCTATTGCAAGAACGCAGATAAAACACATTCTGAGCCTGACTACACAGTGCAAGAGCAGCAGCCTGAATCCTCCACTGCTTAAGCAGCAAAGCTGTCCCAAGAAGTCAGATAAAACAAATTCTAAGCCTGACTAGACAGTGAAGGAGCAGCAGCAGACAGATACAGTCTTCCCTCTGCTCATTCTGCTTTCTCTTCATATCAGCATGTACATGCAGCAGAGCCTGATTGGATCATAGTGGCTCAGGAGGTCCTAGCCCTCCCTCTCCTAGTCTGAGTGCTGCTATATAGGCGATCACAATAGATCAATAATACAAAAAAACGCAGGTACTTAGGTTAGCTGCATTTAGAATTACATGGAAACAACTACTAATTGGTGTTTTATCTGCCTGGAATTCAGCCTTAAAATACAATAATTAAGAACCGCTGTATCTAAAGCTTGATTTTAATCTATGGAATTAAAAAAGAAAAAAGTAGGGTTAGCTTTCTCAAGTCTACAATTGAGCTGTGGGTAGTGGCCTCCTACACAAAGGGCGGACGTTTGTATCGAAAGAAAGCCATTTTACAATCATTGACAAGTTAGAATATTTCAGCCATTAAAAGCTAGTGATGCTGCTGGAGCAGAAAGCCAATTAATAGGAATACATTTATTTCCAGCAACATTCACACTCTCGCCAATAAAACCAAGCCAATTCATAAATTGGAAGAATATTCCTCAGGCTATTTGGGCTTAATACCTTTTTTGATCCCGCAAAACCTTCGGCCTCGGTGAAGAGATAGGCAAATGGCATCAAGAACACGAGTGACAGGTTGGAGAAGAGGAACACCAGGTTCCACAGGCCTGAAAAAACACAGGGTATTGAGTGACACATTCGTTTTAGCAAACTATTAAAGACAGGTGAGAATTTAGACACAAAAGATAGTGATCAAACAGCATGGAGGGAATTTATCAAAACTGGAGCAGACAGAATCTAGAGCAGTTGCCCATGGCAACCAATCAGCATCTCTTCAGTTTGCTCCGGTAAGATTTGAAAATGAGACAGATAAGCTGATTGGTGGCTGTGCAAATCTGCTCCAGATTTTGTCTGCTCCAGTTTTGATACTTCCCCCCTCGTGTTCAGAATCAGAAACATGGCGATCTTTTAATGATGACCAAATATTACAGTGAAATGGATACCAAATAAAATCCCTGCCTCCCTCAGGAAATGCATACATGACCTGACCAAGAGGGTCCTGTACAAGCTCTGCTGAGATATGCACTGGAAACCTTGTTATGTACACCGGCATTTATTAAAGTGTACCCACAAACTGTGCTACAGCATGCACAACCAAGGTCAGTGAGATATATAATGTCTCTCCATGGCAGCTTCTCCACTCGAGACAAGTGACTTCCCTCCTTGGGGTGACCATCCTGACACCAATATTGAAATCCCCATCATGGTCGTCACCCTTGTGGTTGCAGTCTACCAAACTGCTACTCATGCATGTTCCTTAAAGAGCGGTCCATGGAATCATGGGAGCTGTAGGTTTGGATGTCGCAGCACATTGACATGCAGGCAGCACGCTAAGCTATATGGCTACGCCAGAAGTTTCTCATCAAATCAGCACAGTTTTTCTGGTGTGCACCAGAGGATTCAGACTTCATTATAGCATGTGAGCATAAAATAGCTTTAGCATCTAAATGCCATTTAAAGCGGACCTTTACCCATATATTTAGCATAACAATGAATACACCTTTAGAAATGTTTAGTAATGACAATCTACAAACACATACTTCTAGATAATTGTCGGCTTTGTATTCTTTGCATTCTTTATTTCCATTTTCTTCCCCTGTCTTCTGACAGTGGCCATGTTTACTAAGGACATATTACTAGATCTCCTTTGACTTCCTGGATTTCTGGCACATGTGACTAGGATATGTGACCATGCACATCATCTCAGGGGAGGAAAATGCCTTTCCTTGAGATCTCCTGAGATTACAGATGACATTTCCCAGCTCTGCTGACAAGGCAATCCCAGTGTGCATTGCTTTGGCAAACTGAAGTCATTTGCACTTTCAAAGCAGGAAGTGAATGCTCTGCAAGTGCAAGTATTTCAAAATCACAGCATTTTACACCGGATATGTCTATGTTATTAATAATCATCATACATAGAGGGATGCATTGGTAGAATCTGATTTTTGAGTGTAAAGGTCCGCTTTAAAAGATAACTACCAAGCTATTCAAAAGTGGGCTGAAGCATACAACAATAACACTTGAAAATATCCCCCACCTAAAAGGTTTATCAGCACAACATTTTAGAAACAGGTCTCTGTAGTCCATTAAGTTTTAAGCTCAGGTTGAAAGGAACATTTTGGGAAATAAAATCCTGCATGCTCAAAACCCTAAACTAGCAGGAAGACCCTCAAAAGCTTCAATATGTTTCAAGAGGAAGGAAATTCCTTCCCCATTTCCAAGGTCAACTGGAAAACTATCTGGATCAATATTACATTTCTTAAAAATATTAATAGACGCATATATTTAGAAACCCATTCATGCTTTCTGAATTAATCGACGGAGATGGCCAGAACCAGTCTCTGTGGACCCTTTTTTGTGTTTACTAGGGATGCACCGATATATCGGCGCCGAAACATATGGGCCGAAAATTGCACTTTTGGCATAATGCTGAAAGAGCCATGTTTCGGCCGATAAATCGGCGCATCCCTGGTTTCTTTTCTCCCCGCTGGGCGCTGTTCCAGCGGGGAGAAAAGAAAGTGACAGCCGGCCGAGCACTGCAGGACTAGAGCGCTGTGAGCGGCCGGCGTCTCTCCTCCCACACCGCTCAGCCGCCTATCACAGTCCGGCAGAGCGGTGTGGGGGCGGAGACAGCGCTGTCACAGGAGGCTTGGCTTTCCTCTCTACACCGCTCGATCAGCCTCCTGTGACAGCGTGTCAGAGAGAAAAGCAAGATACACACACTCAGCGATCAGTGATCGCTGAGTGTGTGTACATAATTGAGAATATGGTATGTTAACTATATCCTCAATTATGAATGAATGGGAGTAATCTACATCACCCCCATTCATTCATAAGTGTAGTTATAGTAAACAAACCATGTTCTCATGTTATCAATGAACAGGAACACTCAGAGGATTCCTGTTCATTGATAACAGGGGACACAGAAAAGGAGATTGAGGACTCTGTATTCTCAATCTCTTTTATATTTGAATACAAATATAAAAAAAAAAATATTTTTAAAAATTGAAAAAATAAAAATAAAAAAACATTTTAGGTATCGGTTTCGGCCTGACTTTTTTTATTTCGGTTTCATTTCGGTTTTAAAACATTTCCATTTCGGTGCACCTCTAGTGTTTACCCAGCTCTTACAAACAAACCCTTTCCATATGTAGAAGTTAACATGTCAGTATGCAAAACTCTTTCCTGTACACACAAAGAATTAGCACTGTGCTGATCTATTCTGCATGTGTCTGTTAGTGTTATTTTACAGATAAATGTTGGCTACATGAAAGTGCTGATCTTTGTCTGCAGCCCTGGTTTCCTCTTAGTATTAAAGACCGCCACAGTCTATTTGAAGTGGCAACATCTAGAAATTTTAGAAAAATATACCCTTTGTCTGAAGTTCTGTCACAAAATAGCAAAGCACTTCCTGGTATGTGAGGGTGACTAGGCACTGTGTTCACAGCTGTATATCTGGGTGAGATCCAAGGCACTGCTGCTACTGACTGCTAGTCTTAGGAAAGTTGGTGATGTCATCACTGTGCTGCTCACTGCTCTCCCTGGTGGAGGCTCTGATATAAAGAAGCAGAACCCAGCCCCTACCTAGACTGCCACTTCCACACATAGTCACAGTATAGAACAAGACATAGTAAGTCAGTAATAGGAAAAGATCAGCTGCAGGGGGACCACAGACAAGACTGGTGTCTAGTCCTTTATGTTCTGCATGCTTTTTTGGGGGGCACAGCTCCAGAGTTACTTTTTTCCTGGATTCCTTCCCTACCTCGATAGTCACGTGACCAAATGCTGCTGATCCACCGATCAGAATTCTAAATGGCTGACTGTCTGAATCCCCCCACCCCACAAGTTTCTTTAAGATTAGATCACATGGCCTAAGGTCAGCATGTAGCTACAAGATTGGCATCTAAGAACAGTTCAAAGATTTGTATATGTAATTTTACCGATTATTTTATACTAAGGGAGTTTTAGGTTTATAGAAACATCTTAAGCAGATCTATACTGTAAGGGTGCATCCTAATGTCATTAAATCTGATTAGCTGCGTTTATGAAAGTAATATTATCAGGTCTGTTTTATGTTTAAAAATGCTTCTAGTTACAGTTTTTAATTGTGCATGTACAGTATGTGGGGGCAGGCCTACTTTCCCATTATAATCTATGACTCCTATCTAATAGTGCTGCATTTTCTCCCAGTGTTAGTCCAGCAATCCATTTAGTCTGGTATATAAAGCAGCTCATCAGACAAGAAAATCATAGCTACATATATTTATATCTCATACATACACATATATATATATATATCTATATATCACACACTTTTTTTTTCTTTCAATTCCCAGGGTCTTTATTGCTTGAAGTGTACACACCTGCAATACTTTGACATTTACCCCTCATTGAAATAATGCTACAGGGACATTATGGAATGTTTACCTTTTTGATAACCTGCTTTAACCCCTTCATGACTGAGGCCTTTTTTTCATTTTTTGTACCCATGTTTATATTCCACACTTTGTTTACACAGCATAAAAGCCAAAAAATATTTACAACTATGATCATCAAACATTGATGGTAATAGAAGCTCCACAAAATGTACAGGTTATTAAGCCCAGGTTAATAAAATGAAACGGCACTGCTCTGGCTTGCATATTCCATCAGTTTTGATGATATAAAGACTTCATTCATAAAAGCCTCTTTATGAAAGTGCCCAAAATCCAAGCATCACCAAGACTGAGGCACAGAATTAAAAAGCAGCTACAAAACACCCAAGTACATGGATAAAAACACAAAAACATAAGAAACATTCCACTGACCAAAGGCTCTGAAATGTTATATACCCTTATATTAATTTCCCTAATATCCATGTGCTGTGCTAAAAGGGGATTGACACATTAGATTTTGTTAGCGTTGTTTATGATAATGCAATCAAAATTTATTTGATTACATTATTACTTATATACATTAGAGAGAGTGCTAACTTCTTTCTGCCAATCGCTTTCAATAACTTCCTGGATTCCCAGTGTGCTTTGCATTTCTATCCCTGTTTGATGTGATGCATTCCAAATTTTTCAAGTCTACACATCCCATAATTCAATGCTGTCAGCAAGCAATGATGGTGTTACATTGTAGGAAACTCAGGTTGTTGAGTTGTAGTTTAGAAGGCAGGCTTAGAGTTGAGACACAAGGAAGTGAATATTCACAAGGCTGAAAGAAATTGTGCATTGAGGAAGTACATCCTATGAGCAGCTTCAAAAAGTTTACAAAACTTCTAGATTGATAAGTTTTAGGAGTGGGATAGAAATTATGAAAATTCAATATAGAAATACATATTCAATATAGAAATCCTGTGCGGCGGATCGCAATGCAATCCGCCGCCAAAATCGGCCCGGAACGCACTGAATCTAGTGTGACTGAGCCCTTAGAAGGCAAATAGCAATAAACATAAAAGCAAACCTGAATTAGATCTCATGGTATGGAAAATATTTATATGTACTAACAATTTAAAATGTATTTTCTTGCAGTCAAATCTATACTAATACTGGCCATAAACAGCATTTTTCTAGCAACTTCTACCACTGCCAAACACAAAAACAATGAAATGGATCAAAGCAACCTACCGCCACACCAGCTTGTATATTGATATCTATATGGAAGGGATGTTGGTAGGTTATACTTTGAGATCAAAAGCTGATTGATAACCACCGTAAGTATAGGCAGCATGTGTACCGTACTCACCATGGATGAGGGATCCATTGAGCCATTGGATGTAGTAGTTGTGTGGCAGAGACAGCAGCACCTCATTGCTAATGATTGAGAAAGGCAGCAGGAGCACGGCCCCAACAGACACAGCGAGTGTGAAGGTGCACATCCATAGCCTGGAGAGAGACAAAAGAAAAGCATAATCAGGCCTCGTATAATGCTGGAGGCAAAATCACTGCTTTAGATTTACTACAGGCATTCATATAGCGCCAACTATGTATACAGTGTATTACATACAGGAGATACCACAGTCAATCCAAACCTAAGAAAATTTTAAAAAACGTTTTACGCCTTTACAGGCAGTTGAAGCACTTTTGAGTCACAGACCCAGAATAAGCATGATGTGAATTCATTCATCTCTGGTAAACTCGTTCATTGCTGGTTCCAGGTCAGAGACTCAAAATGCATTAGGGCTGCAACAACTAATCGACATAATCGATTATTGAAAAAATTGAAACAAAAATCATAAGTATGACAGCCAGTGAACCAACATTCTCAAAGGAGAGTTCAGCAGTGGCATCCTCCATCAATCTCTTATGACAGATTCCCTTTACTATAATGGCGTTGTCAACTGAATTTCAAAATGTTAAAAATAAATATACTGATAGAGTTATAGACATCTACACTGAGTGGCCAGATTATGACCAACCCATCAGTACTTCGTTGGGCCACCTTTAGCCTTCAATACTGCGATCCCATACGATGCAGTGTACGGCAAACAGTGCGCTCAGAGATCATTTGAGAGGATCCCTGATTAAGATCTGCAGTCATTTTATGCACTGTTGCCCTTCTGTTGTCTTGTACCAGTCTTGCCACTCTCCGTTCTGCCCTAACATTGATTAGTCGCTGACGGCCACAATTCGCACGTTCAGACCAAGATTTTTGGCTGACAGTCCAGTCTTTAAACACTTTAACAACAGCTGCTCTTGAACATTTAACAAATTCTGCTGTTTTGCTGATACTCGCTCCATGGCTCTAAGCGCCAACAATCATCCCACGTTCAAAGGCTGTTAAATCGCGTTGTTTACCCGTATCTTCAGAAAATAATCACTTCTACTGTCGTAGTAAACAACCTGCTTCCCTATTTATAATGGTCTGGCCCTCTAGCAACTTCAGCGCAAAATTATAGCTAATTTGCCTACATACGTCATGTGGTCATAATAATCTGGCCACTCAGTGTATATCTATATCTCTAGCTACATACATAATTATATTATATATAAAAAAAAAATTAAAACATGACAGATTCACAAAATCTATGGGTTATTCAAAGAGAGAGCATAGCAGGAGTTCCTTCCTTTCAGGTTGAACAAATGAACCCTTGGATGGAGCTGTACTGGAAAGGGAGAAGAGAAGGGGAATGGTCACTATTTTTTCTGCCATGACCATAATTTAAAAAAATAAATTTAAAAAAATCCCCTATAAAATGCTCAACGCTTTTTAGAATGCACTAAAAAGCTCCTAAATCCAACAAGAATTTGGCCAGCCTCTCAATCAATATGACTGATTGACAATGTTTTCCCTAAAACATTAGCCAATGGTATAATGAGAATAGTGCCATCCAGAGTGGCCGCACACATTAATAATGTGACAGCCTCGATCCATCCCCAGCAGTAGCAGGATTAGCCGGGAATGTGACTCACAAGTAATCCATCTAGCAGCATTCTGCTGACATGGGTGTAGCCATTTCTAGGTCATCAGGATATTTATACAGTCATTATTAAAGGTTTCTTTAGAAAAGCACAAACAATACCAAGGAAAAATAAAAAAAAAACACCCATGTATATGCACCATGGTCAGTGAAAAAAAAAAAAAAAAGGCATAAGAATGCATAGCTAGATTCCTATTGGCCATTTCCCTTTGCAATAGCCTATAGCAAACTAGCTATTGCACCCGCCCCCTGCTGCTTTCAATCACCAGAAGAGGACCTGACAGCAGCAGTGGGCGGGTGCATTAGCTAGTTTGCTATTGCAAAGTGCAATAGCCAATAGGAATCTAGCTATGCATTCGTATGCCTTTTTTTTCTTTTCTGACTGACGGTCAGGCCGCGGCTCCCGATGTCAGAAAAAACAAACAAACAATCGATTGAGCAGATTAAACCTTTCCGGTAAAAAGTGTTCCTCTCCCGGGCGGCCGGGAGAGTTGGCATTTGTGCAATGCTTTTAACTCACCGGCCCAAGTGGCTCCATCGGATAACGAAGGGAAGGGGGAGGAGTCCGGTGACGTCACAGACATCAACGTCACCGGACTCCTCCCCCCTTCCCTTCGGTAGCCATCAG